GCCCCGGGGGGGGGGGGGGGGTTTGGGGTACAAGGGGGGGTCAGGGGTGCAGCCCCCCGAGGAATGGGGGGTTTGGGGTGTCAGGGAGGGGTCAGGGGTGCAGCCCCCTGAGGAATGGGGGGTTTGGGGTGTCAGGGAGGGGTCAGGGGTGCAGCCCCCCGAGGAATGGGGGGTTTGGGGTACAAGGGGGTGTCAGGGAGGGGTCATGGGTTTGGCCCCCCAAGGAATGGGGGGTTTGAGGTAAAAAGGGGTGTCAGGGAGGGGTCAGGGGCGCAGCTCCCGAGGAATGGCGGGTCTGGGGTCTCACCCATCCTCCCTGGGCCTGGATCCAGGCCAGCACGTGCTCCTGCAGGTACTCCATGGTCCAGCGCAGGATGGTCTGCACCAGCTCGGGCACCTTGGTGCAGAGAGCCTGCCGGGGGCAGGGGGGGCTCAGAGGGGCTCGGGGGGGCTCGGGGAGGGCCTTTTGTGGGGGGCTGCACACCCACCTTGAGCACCAGCTTGCAGGCAAAGTAGAAGAGGGCGACCACGCGGCCCCAGTTGAAGGTGCCGTCGGCGAACATCTCCCTGGCCACGCGGAAGAACAGCTGCTTGGGGGCGTCGCAGCCCACCTGCTCGATCATCCTGGGGGGCACGGCACGCTCAGGCCGGGCCCCCCGGGGACGCCACGGGCCCCCCCGGCCCGCGGGGGGGGCGCCCACCTCTGCAGCTCCATGTTGCTGTCGAGCTCGTCGCCGATGCGCCGCAGGCACTCGCTCAGGCGCTTGGTGTCGGGGCTGCTGGGCTGCGGCTCGCCCAGCTCGGCCACGCTCAGAGCCACGGCCTGGGGGTCCCCGCAGCGCTCCACGCGGTCCCGCACGAACCTGGGACCCCCCCGGGGCTCGGGGTCAGCCCCCCGCGTCCGGGGGTCCCCGTCCCACTGGGCCGCCCGCGGCGCCCCCCGTGTGCAGAACCGTCCCGGGGGACTTGGGGGGATCCGGGGGGGTGCCAGTCTCCCAGCGCTGGTGGGCACTAGGGGTCCCCCCCCATTTCCCCACCTGCTCTCCCCCCAGTTCCTGGGCATCCTCCTCCTCGCCTTCAGCTTCTGGGTCCTGTTCGACCGGCAGAGCTTCGCCGCCGTGCTGGGTAAGGGACCCCCAAAGGCCAGGGGGGTACCCCAAGAGGTGTGGCACCCCCTGACCCCCCCGCCGTGTCCCCAGGGTCCCCGCTGGCCGGCCTGAGGCTCTGCTCCTACGGCCTCTCGGGGGTCGGCACGGCCGCC